TAAAATAAAGTGGAGAGTAGAGCAAAACATCAATGTTTTGTCAGCTACTGAACGTGATGTGGCAGCTGGTGCATAGAAAGGTATCAAATGAGCCATCAGCTGATTTGAACTGTCACTGAGATCAGCCTGTGGGCTGAGCCTAACTACAACAGCTTGAACTAAAGCTTTATTCAGTTTGCTGAATTACACAAAATTAAGTACAGATATTCATGGCCTCAAAAGGATGAAAATAATCGGCAATGACAATCATTCGAGTTTTTCTCAAAAAAATAAAAAAAATAAAAGCCAGTTCATTAAAAATGTACAGGGTCCACAAGATCAGTGCACTACATCAGCCCAGCTTCTATGGACTTCTGCGCCCTCTATTCACTTATATTTGGCTGGTTCTTTGAAAATTAGCTTTTGTAGAAAACTAATTTGATTTGTAATTCAGTTCAATTCAATTTATTTATACAGTGCCAAAAACACAGCAACAGTCACCTCAAGGCATTTTATATTGTAAGGTAGACAATACTATGATAACAAATACAGAGAAAAACCCAACAATCATATGACCTCCTATGAGCAAGCTCTTTGGCAACAGTGGGAAGGAAAAACTCCCTTTTAACTGGAAGAACCCTCCAGTGTGGTGTGAGAGTAAGTCTGACTCAATGCAGAGATTCAATATCATATTACATCTTTTTACATAGATTTAATTTGACAGATTCACTGTCTACTCTGCACAGAATAACCGACATACCTCTTTCTTTACTGGCAGAGTACCTTTCGAAGGTTTGCCGATGTGTTGCAATTTCAAGCACAGTTTCACTCCAAGCACTGTGTGGGTAGTTTTAAAGTTACAATTGGGAGATGAAGAATTAAATATTTGCTGCACCTGATGATTTTACTCATCGTTCTGGATGGCATTTTTGCCATTAAAAAAAATGACACGCTATGACCTGTAAAAGATACAGATATGCAGCAGGACAACGCTAGAAGAAAAACAGCCGACTCTTCAGAGAGGTGCAGAGCTGAGGCGTTGGACTGAGTCATAACACAGTCCAATCTTAACAAACAGAAAACATGTAAATAAAAAAGACTTACATTTCCTGAACATACCATATTCCCTCACAAATACAAACCCTTAAATGTGCTTAAGATATCAGAGAAGAGAGAAGTTTCAAAACTTGTATAAGAATAATATTTGATAGTATTTTTCAAGTTCCAAGTATTCCATATGGTACTTCTCTTTACATGTAGGGGCTGCTAAGAACTAATTTTTGATATTTTAATTTTTCACAGATGCTAAAATACAAATAAATACAGGGCACAAACAAGGAGAGCAGTGATACCTATTTGTGTGGACTGAATCCAAATAAAGCCATTATGGTGAAAAGAACACCAGTAATTTAACTCATGTTTTGCAGTTTGGCTCTTTTATGAGATCAACTGATGATCTGATCAACTTTATACATGTTTCAAAGTACGGAAAAACTTTTTATTATATTTTCGCACAAAAGTGAGATGTCACACTGAGCTAACTGACATCTTGCAGTATGCTATATAACTGAGACTCTATATGCTCACCTTTTCCCACCCAGCATCACTGGAGCCAGGGCAGATCATTACTCAGGGACTGAGTGGCAAGGATGTGCCGACAGCTGTTGTCACTCAGTCACTCTGGTGAATATACACAACTAGTTTTAAAAAGACATTCGTTCTCTCAGAATAGCAGGAACACGAGACACGCCTCTACTGTTCTGCATTCTGTCTGATCCTCGGTGCCCAAATTGCCAGCTTTTCATTCCATATCTGTTTATGTTCCTTGATCCCCTTTGTTTCCTTTCTGCTGATTGATGCTGCTGTGTGTTGGAAGTGTGTGGGCGGCTCAGTAAATAGTCTACTCTCATCATTGTCTTTTACAAAGACATCAAATGAATGACTTATGATTTGTGTTGTTTTTGTTTAGGGGAAACAAACACACTTCAGTGACCACCGGGCTCACTGGAGGAGGTTTGCTGACATTTAATTAGAAGAAAGACTATTGTTGAGATCCCTGCCAGTGTTATAACTGTGGGTTCTCAGAATGAGAGGCTTAAGAATAATTATCGCTTCAGCATGTAATGGAATTCATAAAACTATCTGCCAAATATTTTCAATAACTCGATGCTTTGAATGCAGTTCAGTCACATGAGCACAACGAACAGTGTTTCTTGACAGAGATGAAGGAGTTATTTATGTGGCTAGATAAAGCTTTTTGAAACAGCAGTGTAACCTTTCTTTCCATCCCCACCCCATCAATAACTGTAGCCCACTCACAAGTAATTATCCCTCGTACTTTGCTAAGCAATAGGCCAGCAGATAGGGAGAGAGGCAAACTCATTTAATTCGCTCTCGCTCAGCAGCTTTTTTACATGCTGAAGTGTGACATCGTTCCTGCTTGCACATTCGGTGCATTCTGTGTGTATGACACAGGCTTTAAATCAAATGCGGATACTCCAAACAGCTCTCTAATCCCATGATGGGCGTCACAGGGGATCTTTGCTGCAGATGTCTGCTCGGCTGTGCAGGAGGCCCAGGAGAGGTGTGGAGCAGTGAAAAATACAACTAAGCAATCCACACTGCAGGGGTGGAAGGACTTCCAGTGAGGTATCGTGATAAAATATAAATATAAATGTATATGATTTTATGAATGCATGGCACAACTTAAGTTAAATAACCAATTAATGCATGGCTTATGATAAAAGGAAAGTTTCACAGTTTACATAGAGCTACACAAATATTACCATGCCGAGTCAAAACACATCAAGTGCATGATCAGCATGTGTTTCCCTAATCTGAACATGGTCCACTTGTTATTTGGTCCATGCATTTAATATGAACACAAACAAATAGGCTCTATTTGTTCTCATGACTCAAGCTCTCTGACTATTTATGAGACAGTGGTTGGTAACATGCTGCATACATGAAAAGGCATCAGTTAACTAACATATGCTTTGACTATGAACTTGAATTTTAACTTAGCGATATCTGCCATAGCCATCCCTGCCATACTAGATGCAAAGAAAACAGGTGACTCCTAACTTTGATAGTACTGATTTTCTTGAAATTGGTTTCAGAAAGTAGGTTTTAAATCCACAAAATCTAAGTCACTGAATCAATGCTGATGGACATTTTTGGCCAATGGTTGTTCAATTTCATTAGAGAAAATTACCTCCCCTCTAGGTAACAGTTAATCTTAGACAAAACCCTTAGTGTTTTAACAGTATCAGAAAAAGAATGCCTGGAGTGTGTTTTCCAGATTTTAATAGATTTGTAGGAGGATCATTTTTCTCTTCTCTGCTCTGAGGTCCCCGAAAACGAATAACTTGCATGCAAAAACCTTGTTAAAATTCCATGGATACAGGGCAGAGAATATTTTGTTCATTTGAGGATAATACATCATTGAAGAGCGGGTTAAAAAAATGCATCAAACAGCCTGTTAATGCTTTTGGTAACAGCCAGCTGTTGGCTCATGGCCTGAAAGCAAGCTGTCAGTGTTAATGCTGTCAACCTTCAATTTCCCCCATAAATCATTATTTAGTTGTTTGTGTACAAATTTCCCCTTTCCTTAATTTATTTATTTATTTTTGCATCTTATACTGATGCGGTTTTGATATTTCAGAGAGTGGGTGGGCACAAGTCACGCTTAAAAAAGACTTGAAAAATCCCTGATTCCAATAAGGCGATGTCATTTTGGAAGAAAAGAGACAAATTTATAACAAAACTCTGAACTTAAGAATTGATGTATTTTTGGTGGTTTGACTGTGATGAGAAGCTACATCATAGAGTAGAATCCCAGATGAGGGCAGGAGACATTGACTGGACCCCCTAGAGTCAAGACACGGGAGATGGTGGTTGAGCATAGTAAGCAGAAAGCTGAAGACTTTGGATGAGATCCCTAGGAAAACTTGGATGGGGTGGACATGAGAAGGGGGAAGGCTTACTCGGCAGACGGTCTAAAAGGGACAGTCACCGATTACAATCAATATAAAGAATTAGCTTACAGAGACACGGAATTGGACTTAATTGGTGATACTGAAATTTTGAATTTGACAGAGGATATGTGGAGAGAATATGAGACAACAGAGCTTCCTATGACAGACTTATGCATGTTCTTAACCAATTTATCCCACTGGATGAACAGAAAATTCATGCAAGTCTGAGGGACAAAACTTCTTCTTTGCACCTCAGTCTGATAACCTTCACATCAATAAAAATTCAGTCAATGGACAGCAAAGGCAAAAACTTTGCTTTCAAGTGAAGTTTTATACCATCATCTGATCCGTTGCAATTTTGTCTTTAGATCATGCACAGTAATTTTAGAGAGGCCTAAAGCTTTTACCTGTGGCCCCGGTCTTTGAACCCACACAATCTTTCATTGGCACTATAATCAACTATCTCTGTAAAAGTTTTTAAACTAATGATGCCAAGCTCCACCTTCAAATAGTTGGAGCCATATTTGAATTATATTTAATTATATTTCATGATATGCTCTGAATTCTGTAAGAACAATTCACATTCCTTGTGTAATGGTATGTCATTCATGTTAATTACTGGCCCTTCAATGCAACAAGAGAAAACCCAACAACTTGAGCTCAAAGTGCACTCTTTATTACCTTTCTCTTACTCAGCCATAAAGTTATCTAAGTGAATTTGATTTGTCTTGAATACAACAATCAATCTTAATTCTCAGTCAGCATTTCATGCAAACAGTTTCTATTATTGATATTGATCTTGAAAAGAAACATTGGTTTGCCTGAAAGTAAATAAGCTTTCACCACATTAACTGAATCAATGTGACAGTCGAATAAGTGACACTCTAATTGGCTTTATAATGCAGAGAAGACGTATCCACGCACAGTGCACAATCAAATATGTGCTGCGTCATCGGAGGACTGCGGGAACGACCCACAAACACTGGTGGTTCCCCTGCAGAGTGAGAGAACAGCAATGGGACTGGAAACAGAGAGAAAGGTGGGGGGTGCAAGAGAGAGGTGAGTGCTGCTGCAGATCAGCGTTTAGCCTTGCTGAGGAGTTAAACGCTTCACAGCATCACATCGTCACCATCCAGGCATTAATCCTGTTGTGATAGCCATGGTAAGTTCATACACTTCTATGCTCGGATAGTATGGCTCTGCTCGGCAGTTCTGTGTGCTACGTTACCGTGCAGCTGCAGGGATGATCATTGGACTAACCTTGAGAGAAATGATGCAGCAGGGCTGTTTATAGTGTGCAATGTGCATGTAAAATAGCTGCTGCTTTAGTTACTCTGCTTCACTGAGGCCTGAATTCATGTTCAGAATTTATGTGGTGCACCAGAGCTGTTTCATAGGAAGGGATTATTCACAGGTGACGCTGACATTGCAGACCTCTAGCAGTGCATGCAGTGGCAGCATTTGCCTTGACACCTTTAAGATGACTATTATAATGATTTTATTCCATACACAATGAAGTGAAACTCTGACCTCTGCATATGCAGAGTGGTTTGCATTGCACCATCCCCTCGACCAATCATGGATATATTGATGCAGCAGAAACACTGGTGTCACATGCTGGCTCTGTCCATGCATTACACACTCTCCTGTGAAACAATAGCATTCAGGGAGAATTGTGTTTATTTATTTATTTTTAGCAAAGTTACCCTTTTGTGGTACCTGCCAGAGAACAGGTAATAACAGTCCTTATGTCTAATGTGTATGATAACAACAACAAATACCACATTTATGTTTTTCTTCAGTAGCTGCCATGATGTTTGTGTTGTTCCTGTGTGTAGTCTTTTGTTTACTAGCTGGCTGCCTCTGATCCAGGACTTTTCACTGAAAAAAAAATCTTTAAAATACTTCCAGTTCTTAATTGAGACACATGGCAGTGCAGATAAAAAATAGCAAACAAGCTATAAGTTTAAACTATGCTGTGAGAACTATGCTTCTCTTTTGTGCTGTGACTGTGAGCTAAAAAATTGATTAATATAATTGATTGTCTGTTTTCAGCCATTTGGTTACCAGCTTCAGTGCAGAGCATTTAAACAGGCAATATATGCATTTTCTGGTTGAGTTTTATTATTGCTGGAAAGTGCTAGGAAATGTTGATTTTATCCTACTTGTTTAGGATGTATCAAAGTTGACACTGTCAAGCTCAACTACTACAAGGCACTGCCAGCAAGTTCTACTAAGTTGTTTCCGATTGCGCTGGTTGTCATGTATGAGCTGTCCTTTCTTGCAGTTCTCAAAGGAGCTCCAGCCTCTGATCTTTGTGGCATTTATCCTGACTTCTGCTCTCTCGGTATCTTCCTCGCCTGCTGGCATAGAGAAAGGAAGGAGGAAAGTGGTGCATGTTCTTGGTAAGACCAGTTAACACTTTCATTTGTATGAACAATTACACTTCTCCAAGGTGAGGAGATCTTGATTTGCATTTATCTGCTCAATAACATGAATGATATGTAGAGTTTCTTCAGGATTTTTTTTTTTTTTTTTACTAAGATAGTAATAAAAAGTTACTGGAAAAATCTGAACAGCTTTATTAACCTCAGCTGGGTTATCTTAGAGTCCAAGCAAAATAGACTTCTTTAACTTTTTATGGGCTTTGGGATCCGGAGCTCTCCACTAACTCTCCAAACTCAGTGCACCTGTATTCACATTAATATATAATATATTCCACATCCCACAGTATTTTGTGCAGAATTTCTTGGCAATTGCGATTTTATTCATTCATTTCCGTGACATTGGGCTGTGCAGACAAAACCGCCTTGGCCATTTTGTAACAATGATAATCTTCACAAGCAAAGCTTTCACTTTTGTTCATTATCAGAACTGTGAGCACCCAATTAAACACTGCCCACCTGAGGACCGAGATAAACGTTTGTCTTGTCAGAAAAATAGAGAATGTCAAAGATTAAACTATTGACTGCAGTACTTCTGGTTGTCTATATTACCTTCAGAGTAAAAGCTAAAAAGATCTATTTTCTCTTGAAATAAAACAGTTTAAAATAATTGAATTCTTGCTGTTGTTCAACATAACGTTTATAATTTTATTTATTCATGTAGTTTATGTGTTACAGACATGCTGGTACTTCGTGAATTTATCAGCTTCTAGATACAAATAGGTACAGGTTCGTGAAGCACACTCACTCTCAGTTCATGACAGCAGTCATGGGGTGAAAGTGAGGGTACACCCTGAAAAGGTTGCTGTCTCTTGCAGTGCTAACACAGAGAGGTGGACAATCATTCAGGCTCACACTGATACCTACGGGCAAAATAAAATGACAAATTAAGCTAACAAGCATGTCCTTGGATTGTGGGAGGAAGCCAGAGTACCTGAGGAGAAGCCCCTAAGAGAGATCCACACAGAAAGACCACTGGTGACCTTTCTTGCTGTGAGGTGAGGGTGCTAACCACTGTGTTGCCCTAAAACACTTTGATACTCTCGTTTTCACTAAGTGTGGCACTGTGGATTATGGCCAGACATCTCCACTTTGGTCTTGTCTGTTCAAAGGACATTGTTCTTGCAGTCTGTTCACATGCAGCCCTGCAAACCTAAGCCATGATGCAATGCTCTTTTTAGAGAAAAGTGGCTTTCCCCTTGCAAACCTTCCAAATAGGCTGTAACTGTTCAGTTCGCCCTTTCACAAATTTTACATTTGACATGCAAACTGAAGCCTGCAGAGTTTGAGATGTATCTTTTGTTTTGCACATTCTGACTTTGGGGTGAATTTGCTGGGATGTCCACTCCTGGGAAGATTGGCATCTGGCTTGATTGTTTTCTACTTCTGAATAATCTTTGTCACTGCAGAATGATGGACTTCAAATTGCTTGGCAATGGCCTTATTATTCTTCCCCGACTGATAGGTGGTAACAATTGTTTCTCTGTCTTCCGTTCTTGGCATTTCGTTAACACACACCTGAATGTTCCAGACCAGCAAGCTGCCAAGATTTGATTTTATAGAGATGCTCAAACGTTTTGATGACCATTTAATCAAGTGCATTTTATTAGCAGCGCCTGGTTGTGACTTTCCCACTCAGTTCCCATGGAAGCAGTAACGGTGAATAGTTTTTCACACATTGCTTTTGCATTTAAACAAACAAATAAACGATTAATGACTATTTTTAAATGCAATATGCCACATTTTGTTGTTCATCTGAGGTTTTATTTACATAATCTTTAGGCCTGTTAAGGACAAAATGTTTCTTTTTTTCTGTCCTGACATGCAAAATCCTAAAACTGAAATATGATGTACTTTATGTTTCATCAATTCCTATTCCTTTTAGGTTGTTTCTAGACTGGACATTTTAAAACATGATGGAAAACTTAAGTCAGTCGGGTACTGGCTCACTTGAGTCACACACTTGCTTTCTACTCTTTTTCTACACTGTGTTTAGACTAGAAGATGAATGAAATAGTTAATGTTGAAATCCTCTGTAGGCCTAAAATCTGATCATCTCCAGAGGAGTGGTTTATTTGAAGAATTTCAGTCAGGCTTTTTCAGTTCATCACAGCACAGAAACAGCATTAGTGAAGTTTACAAATGATCTTCTTATGGAATCTGACAGTGGACTCATCTCTGTGCTTTTCCTGTTAGACCTCAGTGCAGGTATCACTCACCACATCATTGACCATAATGTTTTACAGGTATTAGAGGTTACGTGTTAAAGGTGTAATTATGTACTTCCACAGGATTCGATACTGGAACCAATTCTATTTTCATTAAACATGCTTCCCTTAGAAAGTATCATTCAAAGGCATAACATACATTTTCATTGTTATGCAGATGATACTCAGCTTTATCGATCAATGAAGCCATACTACACAAAGCAAATCATTGAACTACAAAAATGTCCTAAATATTTAAAGATCTGGGTGACCTGTTTCCTGCTTCTGAATTCAGATGAAACCTAGGTTATGAACTCATCCCCAAAAAACCTAGAAACATGGTGTCTAACTAGATGCTTGCTCTGGATGGCATTACCTTGGTCTGCTGTAGCACTGTCAGTAACCATGGAGTTGTTTCTGACCAGGATGTGTAGGACTACTTTTGCGTTTGCACAATGTCTTTAAGATTAAAAACTTTTCTCAGGGTGATGCTGAAACTAGTTCATGAATTTATTTATTTCTAGGCTGTACTTTTGTAATTTACTATTATCAGGCTGTCCTAAAAAAATCCTTGAAAGGCCTTCAGTTTAGCCAAAATATTGCAGTGAGAGTACTGACAGGACTAGAAAGAGATAGCATATTTCTTCCATATTAGCCTCTTCATTGGCTCTCTGTTAAATCCTTCTCCTCACATACAGGGTGTTGAATGATCAATAATCATCTTATCTTAAAGACCTCACGGCACCATATCACTCCATCAGAGCACTTTGCTCTCAGATTGCGGGTTTTCTTGTGATTCCTCTGTAATTAGAAGCAGAATGGGAGGCAGAGCCTTCAACTTTCTGTGGAACCAGCTCCCAATTTGGATTCAGGAGATAGACACCCTCACCACTTTTTATAGAGTAGGCCTAATACTTTCCATTTTGATAAAACAAATAGTTAAGGCTGCATCAGGTGACCCTGATTCCTCCCTTAGTTATGGTGCTGCTGGGGGCTTCCCATGATGCACTGTTTTTTCCTCACTCACCTCTTTTCACTCTGTGTATGTTTATAAAACACTGTGCATTTAATCATTTGTCATTATTAATTTCTGGCTCTCTTCCACAGTATTGCCTGTACTGTCTCCTTTCCCTCATCCCCAACAGGTTGAAGCAGATTTCAACAGATGAAAAGCCATGCTTCCATGGCTGGTTCTGCCTATTCTTCCTGTTAAAAGCGAGTTTTTCCTTCCCACTGTTACCAAGTGCTTACTAATAGTGGGTCATCTGACTGCTGTGGTTTTCTCTGTATTATTGTAGGCTCTTTACCTTACAATACAAAGCGCCTTGAGGCAAGTGTTGTGATTTGCCACTATTTAAATAAAACTGACTTGAATGAAAGTCCACATTAAATTATGATTTAGAAGCATAAAGCAGCCAAACAATGTTAATTTAAGAAAAGGTGAAGTGAAGATGAAACAGCAGGAGGGTTAAAACATTTGCAGATCCCCAGAGTAAACAGTGTGACCCTTTTTAAAAGTGACTGATGAACCCCTTGGATCTGAAAACACTATCACTGCTGGAAATTTTTAAAACCTAATGAAAATGTTAACTTTGTGTTATTTGGCTTAACATAAGTATGTCACAACATAACCTCCAACGCTGAGAAATAATGCGCTCAAAGTTTTGATTAAACATCACTTGATGCTTTTATTTGTGATGGTGATAAACAACTTTGCAGAGACCAGTAAGTAGTGACAGGACTAATTTCTGGCTGGCATGGATAATTGTAGGTGCCTTTATCTGGTCACAACATAGCAGAAAACCTTTTGCAGCTGCTCATTAAACATTTTAAATGTTTACCCCACACATGTTGTGAGTCTTTGGTTGCCTAGGTGCGTGTGCACACAGAGCGTCTGAACAAATGTCTGCCAAAAATGCTAAACAGGTCTTGTTATTGTCCATTTGGAGGAAGAGGACTGTGGTTACCATTAGTCTTGGGTAATTTTGGTGAATCGCTCTCTGCAGAAGTAGAGGTTAAAATTGTAGAGTGAGTAATGTCATGATAGAGCAGACAGGAAGATGAGTGTGCTGCTTGCTGGACCCTTCGATAGGAAAAAAACGTTCTCCTCTGTTGATATGCTCAATTACCGGAGCAGTAATGTGATGGCACAAGTAAACAGCACACGCTTTATTAGCTGATGCTGATTCAATTTTTGCAGGCATCTTAGAGAGATAAGCCTCACAAATAGATTCAGAGACTGAATTTCATGATTACAGTTACAAGTATGGGTCGCATATTTCCCAAAATAGACTTCTGTTTAGTAATAAGAAAAAGAAATATTAGCCACAAACCTGCATATAAAAGAATATATTACTAAAAATCTTCCATCAGTAGCAGTGAAATAAACTGAGCCAATTTTCCCTCCTTCTTCTTTCCTTTCAGAGGACGACACTGGAGCCGTGATTGTGCAGACTGCCCCTGGTAAAGTGGTGACACATCGGGGTGGCTCCATCACTTTGCCCTGCAGATTCCATCATGAGCCGGAGAACGTTGATCCTGCTCGCATCAGGATTAAATGGACCAAAGTGACGGACACGCTGCAGTTCGAGGACGTCTTTGTAGCACTGGGAAAGTAAATTCTGCATCGTTATTCTCAGTTGATTCATCTTGCACTTTTGTTTTAACTAATTATGATTTCATGATTTTTTTTTTCCAAATTTGCTTTAGTTTCGCTAATTTTATTGATAAGATGCACTGACATAATAAACTCTGTCACACACAGTTTATCATCCAAGTATTTTCTCAGGTTGGAGCATTTTTCAATCATTTTGCTAACAGCAGCTGTTTTGAGGACAATGAGTGTCTTTCAAATCTCTCCAGGCAGCAGCGTGTGTTTGGATCGTATCGTGGCCGTGTGTTTCTGGAGCAAGCAGGACCAGGCGACGCATCGGTGATCATCCAAAATGTCACGCTGGAGGACTATGGACGCTACGAGTGTGAGGTCACTAACGACATGGAAGACGATACAGGATTTGTCAACCTTGACTTAGAAGGTCAGGCTCTGGGCCATTTGTAGGAAATTTTGTTGAAATGTTCAGTTTATTTGAGTTCACCGCATTGCACACTGTTATACTGTGAGACCTAAATGGCATCTTATATGTATGTACTCTTTTTAAAGTCATTTTAAATGACTTTTTAGTTTGCTTTGTTGAATTTGAAGATGAAGATTTTTGTTCTGTTATATAATGATATTATTATTAAATACTGTTATTTAAAGGTATACTTATCTTATTGAATTTATGATTTCAAATTTGTTTTTGTCTTATTAAGTTAACTGTCATACTGCATTTTAATTGATTGATCTATACATTTTACTTATTACTTGTTACTCTTCTTTACAGCATTGCTTCAGCTCATTGTTTATGCAGAGTCATCTCAAGGTGCTGCCCCAGCATTTTGGACTTGAATTTAACACTAGAGACTTTCTCCTGGAGACCCTTCCAAACAACCCATTTAGCATACTAACAGAGGCCTGTAGAGTCTGAGATGTAGCTCCTTGTTTCTTCTTCTTCTTCTTTCTTTTAGGGTCTGACCTTGTGGTAAATCTTCTAGGATTTCCAATCCTGGGAAGATCAGCAACTGTCTTAAATGTTTTCCAGTTGTGAATAATCTTTCTCACTGTACAATCATGGACTTTAAATTGCTTAGAAATGTCGTTATTATCCTTTCAAGACTGATGGACAGTAACAATCGCTTCTGTTCCCAGGGTGTTAACACACATCTGAATGCACCAGTACAGCAAACTGCCAACACTATTTTTATAGAGTTCCTCACGCTTTCTCACGATCCGTTAATCAAGTGCACCTGGCTGCAACTTTGGCTTTTAATTCCCATGGAAGCATAAAGGGTGCACCTTGTGTTTTCCAAGACAGCACATATCTCTTCACTTTCTCTCTTCATTATTCATTTTTTTTTTACCTGACTCTATATGTCTGTGGTGTTTAATTTAATTTTAATTGCTGCGACAAAGGAATTTGTTAACTTTGGAATAACTAAATACCTAAAATAAATCTTATAATTTTAATGTCTGTATGAAATTCAGAAAAACTAAAGACATTTACAGCTTCCTACTTTGATTCTGTCGCCTGTAGGAGTGGTCTTTCCCTACTATCCCCGTGAGGGGCGCTACAAGCTCAACTACTACCAGGCTGAGGATGCTTGCAAAAAGCAGGATGCCATTCTAGCTTCTCATTCTCAACTGCACAAGGTGAATACACATACTTTAATTGAATTAAACATGGACGGTATGTCATACTGAGAAGGTATTGCTAGTTAGGATGCATAGAGATAACACCATCCATAGTACATTAGTCTACAGGTACTTTTTTAGTTATTACAATATGCTTACTTACTGATGTCATTAACTTTTTAGAGCAGTAGTAAGTCTGGAATTAAGAATATGGAGATCAGGAATTTTACTGCAGGTCAGTCCTCCAACTCTTAGAGGCTTTATGGAGTAAAGTCAAGTGCAATGGAGTTATGTCACAAGAGATAAACTGAATTTGTTCCCCTCTTTATAATTTCTTTAATCCTTTAGATCGACCCACTGACCTACATTATCTTCTTCTGCAGGCATGGCTGGAGGGACTAGACTGGTGTAATGCTGGATGGCTGGAGGACGGCTCAGTTCAGTACCCTATCTCTCATCCCAGGGACGAGTGCGGACGTAAGGACACCCCAGCTGGTGTTCGAAACTACGGCTATAGGCACAAAGAAGATGAGCGTTATGATGCTTTCTGCTTCACTTCCAAGCTCAACGGTGAGAGATGGAGATACATGACATACATGACAATACAACAAATAAGAAGTGCTATCAAGTATCTGTGACATGATATTAAGAAAGAACAAAAGCTTTCAAGTGCTACTTTGTCATGCTGCTACTTTTAAAAATAGGATGTTTCATGAGTGGTAGACCAGGGGGAAATGAGATCTCTGATCTCTCCCTGTGATCTTTGAGGCCTTAGGCCATTGGTTTTAAATCAGGGTATGTTGATTCAGCCCTGCTAGGGCCACAGTGTCCTCTGGGTAGAAAGCCTTGCCTTTCATCTCCCTGTTCTTTGATTTACATCACATTCCCACAGAGAGTCTGCACATGCTACCTTCATGTTCACAAGCCTAAACAAAAAAAAAAAAAAGAAAAGTAAAAGAGTTTTACTGGAGGAAAGGTATGTGTAGTCAAAAGTTATTCCAGAAAGACACCTTGGCTCAGAGTAGACAGTATATAAAAAGCCCACGTTGATTATTATAAGAATAAACTGCTATACTCAGATTTGCAACTGACAAAATATTTCTTGTTGGGGGAATAGGCAGACAGAAAGACTAGAAGTTAAATGTACCTGCCAAGGAATAGTACAACCTTCTAGAGTTTATGCTGGTATGTAGCCCCTAAAGAGTCATAGATACTGAGCTTCACATTTAACTCTTAGTGAGAAGAAGTTCGGCTTGTTGAACTGTTCAACTGCTGTGGTTTGAGTCTGCATCCGTGTTTAAGAAGTTTTAAAAACAGTTTAAAATGATTTTATTGAATCACAAACTGTTTTAAAATAACCAGTGCCTTTCCTTAGTGAGAAAAAGGTGGTTTGACAGAAACCTTAAACAATTGCTCATGGCTTCCCTTGTGTGTTAATTACTGTGGACAGTCTGTTGTGGGCAGGAGGTTTGAGCAGCGGTTGTGACCGATGCTGTGTCTCGGTCCAGCTGAAATGCATTTACTGAAAGTCCACTGGGGAAATATGAGACAATATTCTGCCTCTCTAATAGCCACCAGTCACATAAACAAGCATAAAATCAATAACTGAGCCAACTGCAAAGCTTTGCTCGCTGAGATGATTTTCATAAACCGTTGGCTTTAGAAACCAGCAGACGTTTATTCTTGGTTAGATTGTTTATTCTGTGCTGCTTTCTTAGGTGAACGTACTTGTGATTCAGCTCAGTTCAAACTAGTTAGCTTATCAGGATACCGATATACTTTAATATACTGCCAGGCGAAAAGTCTCCTCAGAGGTATGAAGAAAGCAAAAAATTGAAGCATTTTAAGAGTAATTTTAGACTTCTGCCTGCTGATACAGTATTACCTTTCGATTTTTTGAGCAGCAGCCCAGACGGTTGTTGGAATGACTTGATATTCTGAACACAATCAGGCAGAGAGGCCAGGAAAACTGTGAATATCTACCCTCAGGGCTTAGCTTGTCTCTGGGGCTTTCTTCTCTCATTCGCTTCTCTTCTGCCCCCCTGAACAATGCACTGACTCTGTTTTCCTTCACCTTTTAACATGTTCTTACAACAAACAACTTTCCTTCGCCTCTCTCTTTTTTTCCGCCTTAGGCAAAGTGTATTTCCTCAAGCGCTTCAAGAAGGTGAACTATGCGGAGGCGATTAAGGCGTGCATTCGAGACGGTTCAGTGGCGGCCAAAGTGGGTCAGCTTTATGCAGCGTGGAAGTTTCAACTCCTGGACCGCTGTGAAGCAGGCTGGCTTGAGGATGGCAGCATTCGGTACCCCATAGTCAACCCCCGTTCTCGCTGTGGAGGATCCCAGCCAGGAGTCCGAAACCTTGGCTTCCCTGATAAAAAATTCCGCCTCTACGGAGTCTACTGTTTTCGTGAAAACAAGGATGAAGCAGTGGGTGGAACTGGGAAGACAAAAAGCACTATAGCGAGTTTGACAAAGAGGAAGAGCAGCAACAGCATCCCCGTGAACGCCACAAAGGTGATTTAAAGTAGGAAGACTGAGAGCAGGAGGGGGATGCAATTTCAGATTTGACTGTCGCCTAGCAGCCAGATTTCATTCATCACATTTAAAAAAAAGCAAAAAACACTCAGAGACAAGATGCACTCATTTGCAGAATTGCCAGAGAGAAGAACAAGGCTGTGTAAAATTAAGGATGACATCTTTATAAGGGTGGTTTTCCTTTCGTTTTGAGTCATTCAGCTATCACGAGTGACTGTTAGCACATCTGTACCCGGAAAACTGCAAGAATTAATAGCGGCTTGATCATCACTCAGATCAGAGAGTCTAACATAAATGATCTTGTTTACATGTGTGAGTGAATCATGCTTTGGACCCCGCTGTGATCCTGATGCCAGGGTGAAAATATTCATTACTGAGAGAGAAATGGGATGAGCTGCATGGCAGGCAGAAAAAAAAATATCCAAGATTCACAGTTTTTATTGTACCTGCCTATATCTGATTGGTTGCTTGGTGAGCAACCCTCTGCACAATGTCATTAAGACCTCACAATCGCATCCTTAGAGCTGAAGAACAAGTAGTAAATGCTGAACTAGAATAATTGCACTTTAAACACATAGTCCTTTATTAAGGCAGCACCTTAACGAAAACCTAAGCAAGCATGTATTGTTTGGCTGCGAGTAGATCACAGGGCTGAATTAACATGAACACAAGCTACAGTAATTGCTGTTGACTGCACAGAGCCACCGATTGCACTGTCATTGCTAAATGCAGTGATCTTTATAACTGAGGATGTTTGCAACTACTGAATGAATGGATATTCAAGAAGAAAATAAAAGTTTTGGTTTGAACTTGTGTCGGTGCACTTCTTTCCCTCGATGAAATCTTTCTGAATTTGGGTGAAAACTGAAATGAAATACTTTCAGACAGAAGCAATGCAGTAAACACTGTACATCTAGACTGCTTAGTTGAGTAGTGTGTAATACTCAGCAGGGCAGTAGTATCTTAAAATTTCACAGGTTGTGCATTCACCAGAAAGGAAGATGTCAAAATTTGAACATGGTTGTCGAACTCGCTGCTGTATTTTGCTTTTATATTTACAGCTTCTTGCCGTTTTAGCCACACATTAAAAACTTCTACTAAAGTGAGGGTGATAGTTACCATGCATGAATACCAGACAATAGCAAAACAGACAACAATGCTGATCCCTGAAAAAAGTCTGTTGCTGTTAACTAGCTACAGTACCTAGAATTGGCACTAAAATCGACATTACATGCAGTCATACCTGCCAGTGTACCACACTCTTTACAACTCAAAATAACAGACCCAGGGATAAGTATGGAACAAAGTCATTTAAAACAAAACAAACCTGATAGTGGTGTTGGAAGAAAAAGCAGAGGAGCAAAGTTCATACCATTAAATTTCCACCCAACTTCTTAGTTTTCAGTCTCACGTGAGACTTAAGATTTTTACTTTTGTGTTCATAATCAATTTTGTGGGTGTCACACTAATGTTTTTTGTGCTTTTGTCTTCCTCGCACGTTTGATTGTTTGCCAGTGACAGAAGCTGCTGAGCAGCGAACACAGCTCTGAGCGGAAACATGTTGGCACTGCACCAACACAGCAGAACAAACCATGTCATCGTCATAGCAACAGGCAGCTTGTAATTAAGTCAAGTTCATGGCAAGTCCAGCACCATGAAATAAATGCTGTCCGTGACAAACAATCACCTCTGTTTGCTACATGTTGACGTCTTTGTGCCGTTTTTTTTCCTTTGAGATGACGTCAATCATCAAAGGTGAAGATTCTAATGATTTGCTGAGCACTTTACCCAGTCCCATTAGTTTGTTCTACTTTGTGACATTAGGCAGAGCCACTAAATTAATGAGCAAAGTCCTACTTGATTAACTGTGGCATTTATAATTTACGAAGGATTGCGTATTCTGCACATCAGTAATGAAGTAATTCAGCTGTTTTTTTTATTGTGCTCGGGATTGTGACGGTAAGCCATTTGATATTTACAGTGGATGGCATTTAAACAGCATCTCGATTATGTAAGAGTGAGGTCACTGTAAATAAGAGGCGATATTTTAGACTCTGACTGCCAACTCTGAAATGAAATGTGCACACTATGCTTTTGTGAACATAATAGCAGTAACTGTAGCCACCAATCAAACCAATTTTGTGACACCAGCACAAACTACAGACACAACAGGCCAGGCAGGCGAAAGTTTGACGAGACAAAATGGCAAAGCTTTTTTAGAATCCCTTTATTTAAAATGAAAGACTGAACAGAAGTGAGCTTTGAAAGGAAACCAGAAAAAAAACCCTACTCAAATTTTTGAGTATGACCGTCGTACTGCTTTCATTTCATAAGGTCCTTTCACCGCCTTTTCTTTTGAGCATGAAATGAAATTAGGTGACCCTGTAACAACAGAACTGCCACACAGTGAATACAGAGGAACGATCTGGTGCTGGCTCTCATTTATCAGCCTGTGACAGAAGTCAGGCCCTCCGAACAGCTCTGAGATGGAAGCAGAAGGGTGGGGTCAAGTGACAGAAAAGAAACACGAGAAACAAAATGAAACAATATAGCTGACGTACACTGATATTACTGACACATGCACCTCACAGGTGTTTACTTGTAAGCCTGATTACACTTTTCCCTGCACAGACGTATTCTTCCACCTCAGACGTTTTAGACCTTTACCATTTCTTTAGGCCATTACATCAGATGTTCCCTTTCACTAGTGATACAGGGGCAACAAAGCACCATAAACAATAACTCGTTTACATTTGAGTGGACAGGCACGCTAAATACCTCAGCCCTGAAGTGCAGCCATAGTTAATATTCTTAATTACATCTCTGTTTGCTCTGTGTAAATATACACTTGCTAACTACTTCATTCTCTCCACCTGTTCAGGTGCTCGTTTACATACACATCTAATCAACTACTCACATGGCAGGAGTGTAATGCATTTAAGCATGTAGATATGAAGCATAAAGTTGATTCAAGTGACTTTAAATGTATAATGCATGGTGGTGCGGTTGTTAGCACTGTTGCCTTGCAGCAAGAAGGTGCTGACTTTGACTTCACAATCTGGCCGGGGCCTTTCTGTGTGTGTGTTTGAATGTCCTCCTCGTGTTTGTGTGAGATCTCTCTGGCTTCTTTCCACAGTTCAAAGACGTGCAATTAGCGTGGTTAGGTTAACTGCTGATTCTAAATTCCCCATAGGTGGTGTGAATATGAGTATAAACAGTCTCTTCGTGTTAGCCTTGCGACAGACTAGCAATCTGTCCGGGGTGTACCCTGCCTCTCACCCTCTGATTATGATAGCTCCAGCCCCCCTCCCTCCGCGCAACTCGATTAACCAGAAGAGCATCGCTTTACGAAAAACACGTCAAACTGTGACACAGATGGGTTACAACAGTCATGCCGAGTGTAATTCCTGTCATCTAAGAATTAAGGCTACACTTTACTTGGGCTCACCGAAATTGGACCCCAAAGATTGGAAAATTGATGAGTCTTGATTATTGTTGCAACATTGATATTGGAGTGTCAGAATTTGGCATAAACAGCATGAAAGCATAGCTCCAGCTGGCCTTGTATCAACAACTCAAGCTGCTGTTGGTTGTGTAACAGTATGTGTGATATTTTCTTGGCACACTTTGGACCCCTTAGTATTAATTAAGCATCAGTTAAACAGCAGAGCCTACCTGAGTATTTCTTATGACCATGTCCATCCATTTATGCCCAGAGTGTAGCCTTCTTCTGATGGCTGCTTCCGACAGGATAATATGCCATTCCACAAAACTCAGATCATCTCAAACTGTTTTTTTGAACTGTACTCAAATGGCCTCCACAGTCACCAGATCTCCATCCATTAGAGCACCTTTGTGATGTGGTGGAGATTTGCAATGATGGGTGTGCAGCTGACAAATCTGCAGCAACTGTGCAATGCTATAGTGACAACATGGAGCAAAATCCCTGAGGAAAGAGGGTTTCCAATATGTTAAATGTGTCCGGTGAGTGCATAAAATGTAAAAATGGTAATAAAAAAAGATGACCTGTATCTTTTTCTAATCGCATTTCTTACACATCATGAGGTAAATGAATGATATGACAGATTTTATAAGGATTTCATAAGCACATTTTAGATACTTACAATGATATTTCATACAGGCTACAGTATATAAACAATAATAATAATAATGATAAGACTTTATTACCAAGTCTGGATTTTATTAAAAGACATATAGGGTAATAAGAAAAGCTTGTCACATTGAGATTAATTGCTCATCTTGTCCACTGATATCTCTTTTTCCAGCTGCAGAGATGATCCATTGTAACTCCTTCCTTTATTAAAGCTTTCTGTGACTGAAGTTAAATTCATTATTCATAAACCTAAAGACCGGCAGTGCAGCAGTTCTTAAACTGAAGACACAACTGACACAAATTGAATTATTTTAAACATTACAATAAATTAACACTGATGATCCAATATAGCTCATAATCTTTATTTATAGAGCTTTTTAAAATATAAATGTTCATGCTGGGCAACAGCTTGATAAGAAGCAGAATTTATCACAGCAGCATGATGTTCATAGCTCACCTGTGGGTTACATATCAGCAGGTTGTGGCATGAAATAGAAATCCAATTACATTAATAGTTTGTTTTCCAGAATCATCTGCTGCGGTGTCACTTTCAACTGTAGGAAGGTATTATCACCTTTCCTCTCATAAAGAAGGGCAATAAAAGAAGCACTGAAGCTTTTTTTCGTTACTTTCATACAGTGAGAATTTCATTGTCTCGCATTATCACTGCTGCACAGATATTGAGTCAGTTGATTCTGAATGAAGCGACCTGGTAGTAAAATTGACTATTTGACAGAAATGTCAGTGAGTCACAAACACTAAATGTTACAGGGTAAATACCATATTGTACTGAGGGATTGATTTCACCTGCGCTGAGGACGTTGGTGACCCTACCTTTTTTCACACTTGACTTTCCACATGATTGAAAGGTGTATTAATGGTGGCTGCAGTGTTCTTATTGGAGGTCCTGGGTTTGTGCATGTTGGTGCTGTATTGACTCAGAGTTTTATGGTTTGAGAAAATAACTAACACCTAACTTATAATAAAATCAGTTGGTTCATACTTCAGCACACTTTAATCACTAGTGGCCACTTTGGTATGGGGTTCATTACAACTGAAGAAGGACCTTAACAAAGACTTGTACAGCTCCTGAAGTTTTTGAGGTGAACAAACTGGAAATGTAGGACTTTTTCTGGGTTTTGTGTGTTATCTATTTTATTATGGCAGCATCAATCTGAACCAAAGCCAAGTGTTTCAATTTAAGTCTTCATCTGTGAGATCAGACCTGCTGGCTTACAAGCTGCTTTATAACAGACCCAATGCACTCCATAGATCAGTTACATCGCAGTTGATCAGGCTCATCTATATCTATGTCACTTACCTGTATATAAACTACCTGTCCCCACTATTTTCCTCTCAAATTAGCACCATCTTGTGGTGTGCTTCATTGGCACACTGTGATGGACTCATCTAAAGAATTTTTGGTATCCATCCCGTTTAAACATGAAAGTATAAGTTCATCAGTACAAACTCAGATCATAACAAAATATTGGACACTACCTTTACAGGGTGTTTCAAAAAGAATCACAAAGTGCTTTAAAGGGGTAATAACTGGAACACACAATGTGCTGTTAGAAAGAGATTTGTGTATTTCATGTGGTGTAATAACAGTAAAAAACAGTTGGAATGTAAAAATATGGGATGAGTATGACTATCATACGGACATATGCTATGTGTCCAGAGGGAAACACATTT